TTGTGCTCAAAACTCAACGATATAAACTGGAGCCAAGTAAACAGAAACATTATTTATTTATTTTATTACAGATGCAGTAAATGCACTTAAATATTATATATTCTCTAAATTTGCATCAGCAAGGAGGTTAGGGACTACGAAAATCTACTTTCCATACAATCCATAGCCAAGGCCCAGGCCACCTAAACCTCCCATACCATACAAGCCATTCAAACCGTACAATCCATAACCGCCAAGACCACGATATGCATAACCATATAGGGGATAGTTGAATGTGTAAGGATTGTACATTCCCATTCCATATGGATACATTCCGTACATCCCGTAGTATTGACGCTTCACGCGGATACTGAAAGCATAACTCTAATTGGTCTGTAATATCAGTTCCTCAAATAGCTTAGATTTCCCAATTTAGGTCAACGACAAACGATGATCTTTGGTCGATGTGAAGATTTCCAAATTAATTCAATATACTTTGCAACTTCATTTATTTTAATAACTTTACTTAATGCTAATAAATATATTCTATTGTAAGACATTGTTATAAATGTAAATTCTCCAGTTAAGAAAGCAGTGAAGTCTCGAATAAATCAATCTTCAGCAAAGATGTTCGTTATCCTAGCGTAATGAGTTACCACATCATAAAATGTTCAAATTATCGCCGGGAAAATGTTTATAACTTCAGCCTTATTCGGACTTATTAAGATTATTCTTCCCATTAAACTCTTCCCTCCGAATTAAGTCTCGAACCTGTGAAGCTGAAGCTACCGGCGAAAGTATTTTAGGTTGAAGACCAAAATTAGGCTAAGATCAGAAACTATGAATTCAAAGTGCAAAGCATATAAATGCAAGTGTTTTGTTAAAGGTATATTCAAGTAGGACGGAAACCCTTCTATGTATTATGAAAGGCTACCAGAAGTGCAAAGTTTATTTTCAGGTCAGGGCTTTGAGGTGCCGAGGTTGGGCATGTAGTCAGTTCTTTGCTTCTGAGTACTTCTGCACTCTCCGTGTTTGAACAAAGTGTATTTTCAAACATAAACGAATTTCACGCACAAAATCTTTGGAAAAGTATTTGCTACCTCAATGATTTTTT